CGGGCCCAGTAACGTCTCCATTGGAGACTTTGTTGTTACTGTGTCTGGCATATCTAATACTCTAGTAGCTTGCCGGGCTCTCCGAGAGGGGCGGAGGAATCGAACTCGGGTCGGCCATGTTGGCCGCTTGTTAGGCGAACACCCTACCCGCTGTGCTATCGCTCCAGTCTGTATCACTAGAACCAAGTAATGGTTACCAGAAGGAAAGAGGAAAGGTGAAGGTGTGGATCAGAACAAAGAGATCAATTGTATGATGAAAGTTGAGGGGCTGGAGTGATAACACAGCAGGGAGGGCGTGTGCCTTGCATGCAACCAATCCAGGTTCGATTCCCAGCATCCCATATGGTCCCATGAGCACCGCCAGGTGTAATTTCTGAGTGCAGAGCCAGGAGTAACTCCTGTGCATCGCCGGGTGTGACCCAAAAAGCAAAAAAAAAAAAAAGTTGAAATAAGATTTTCAACGTGAACTCAATTGTCATATGTACACCTGCTGATTTTTAATGATTTGCACCTGAAACTTATGATATTATAATTCAATATTATTTTGATGTTATTTACTATTATTTTGATGAGAAAAAATAAGCCAGGGGACCAGAGAAATAGTGCAGCCAGTAGGGTACTTGCCTTGCATATGAATGACCCAGATTTTTTACCCAGAATCCCATAGGATCCCATAACTCCCCCTACCCCCACCCCAGCCCAGCCCAGCCAGGCGAGCCAGAAGTAAGCCCTAAGCACTTCCTGGCATGTCCCCAAAACAAGCAAAGTAAATAAACTGCATATGATGAAGTTCCTTCCTTGGAAAAACTCTTCCACTCCCAAGTAAATTGCAAATGCAAATAAATGCTATAGGGAAACTCCACAGCTCTAAGTAGGCGCAAAGTAATGCTAATTCTATTGCAAGTCATATCCCCTCTCTTGGGGTCATGCTGTCACCCACACGATATCTACTAGGAAAGTTATTTACTCTCAGAACTTAAAAATTGGAAGAAATAAAATAAACATTTATTTTAAAATAAATGAATGCTTTATGCCAATGTGTGTGGAAAGAGTTGTCTCACTGTTAAACGGGGCTTGAGATAGAAGAGTCCACTTTGCCATGCAAGAGCAAGGAATTTTGTTGTTAGCTCGAGCAAGAGTTAATGTCCCCACCCACACAGAGGCCACAGGACAAGGACCCAGACTTTTCAGATATATATAATATATATCTCTTCAGATATGTATATAGAGTATATATATATCTATATATAGTAAGTAAGTAAGGCCCTCCCGTTGATCAACGATTTGCTCGAGCGGGCCCAGTAACGTCTCCATCATGAGACTTGTTGTTACTGTGTCTGGCATATCGAATACGTCACGGGGAGCTTGCCAGGCTCTGCCGTGCGGGCGAGATACTCTCGGTAGCTTGCTGGGCTCTCTGAGAGGGGCGGAGGAATCGAACTCGGGTCGGCCATGTTGGCTGCATGCAAGGCAAACGCCCTACCGCTGTGCTATCGCTCCATCTACATATAAAGGTAAAAGGTAAAGGTTAAAGGCCCTCCCGTTGATCGTCGATTTGCTCGAGCGGGCCCAGTAACGTCTCCATTGGAGACTTTGTTGTTACTGTGTCTGGCATATCGAATACTCTCGGTAGCTTGCCGGGCTCTCCGAGAGGGGCGGAGGAATCGAACTCGGGTCGGCCATGTTGGCCGCTTGTAAGGCGAACGCCCTACCCGCTGTGCTATCGCTCCATCTACATATAGATAAATATATATCAATATCTATATTTATATACAAATATATGTAAGTATATATTTATATACTGTGCTATCAATCAAACATTTATATAAATAAATGTTAATAAATAAATAAACATTTATTTATATAAATGTTTGATTGATAGCACAGCGGTAGGGTGTTTGCCTTGCACGCAGCCACATGGACGACCCGAGTTCGATTCCTTCGCCCCTCTCGGAGAGCCCGGCAAGCTACCGAGAGTATCTCTCCCACATGGCAGAGCCTGGCAAGCTCCCCGTGACGTATTCAATATGTCAAACACAGTAACAAGTCTCAAAAAAATGGAGACGTTACTCAGCCCACTTGAGCAAATCGATGAACAACGGGAGGAGAGAGAGCTGATAATAATATTTATTGGGCTGGAGCGATAGCACATAGGGTAGGGCATTTACCTTACAAGCGTCCAACATGGCCAACCCGAGTTCGATTCTTCCGCGCCACTCAGAGAGCCCAGCAAGCTACTGAGAGTATCTCACCCACACTGTAAAGCCTGGCAAGCTGCCCGTGGCGTATTTGATATGCCAAACACAGTAACAATTGTCACAATGGAGACGTTACTGGGCCCGCTTGAGCAAATCGATGAACAACGGGAAGACAGTGACAGTGAATATATTTATTAAATATGAATATAAAATATTAATATAGTGAATATATTTATCACGATCACGATCATCCTGTTTTTCGTCGATTGCCTCTAGCAGGCCCCAGTAACGTCTCCTTTGTCCTAGCCCTGAGATTTTAAGAACTGCTATATTAAAGGCTCTTTCAGGGTTAAGAGAATGAGACCCATCATTGTTACTGGTATTTGGCATATTGGGTACGCCACAGGGAGTTTGCCAGACTTTGCTGTGTGGGCAGGTAACATTCAGTAACCTGCCAGGTTGACCAAAGTAAGAATGAGATAATAAGATGTCTGGGAGCTGGGTTTTATAGTCTCTGGGTCTGCCTACTGGAAGATGGAGGATCTGGGTGGAGGATGCTCAGCCCCGATCCGAGCAAGCTTGGAGATCTCAGCCCCGGGACCCGCATGCCTTTGTTCCTCTGCCGGTACCTTCATGCGTGTGGAGAGTGGTCTCAGCATGGTGGTGGCTGGTTCTGGAGGTCTTCGGCTGCTGGAGCTCTGTTTGCGACGGGGAGCGAAACTCAACCCGCCCCACTCCAAGGGGCCCTGGCGAGGACTGCCAGGCGAGGGGGCAGGAGACTCTGCCAAATAAATATATAAATATCTGAAACATATATCGGACTTTTCAGATATATATTTATATGTAAACATATAGCATATGAATAAATTTCATTCTTTGCAGTTAACAAAAGACTATTTCTGGCACTAGTCACTGCTGATACGGCACATGGTGATTGATCGAGCCCACTTGCTGGGTCCAGGAACTTTCCAGGTGGGGTCTTGGTTGGCTAGTTTCACATTGTTTCATTTCTGGGAAACCGAAACTTTCAGTTCCAGGAACTGAGCCCGAGATCTATTTGATATTTCTCATTTCTGCCGCCTGTCATGGTGTTGCCATTGCTTATTGTGTCGCTCTTCTCTTCATCACCTTTTGCACTTGATGTTTATCGCACCTTGGATGCTCAAGGACTAATTGACTGAACAGCATGTTACTCTGGCTGGGACCTCTCAGGAACAGTTAACTGATTTGGAACGAGATTGTTCCTTTATGTAAAGGAGCAATCACCATTAAGATTGATGTTTCGGGAACCGGAGCGATAGCACAGTGGGTGGGGTATTTCCTTGCACGCAGCCCATCTGGGTTTAATCCCAGCATCCCAAATGGTCCCCTGAGAACTGCCAGGGGTAATTCCTGAGTGCAGAGCCAGGAGGAACCCCTGTGCATCGCCGGGTGTGACTCAAAAAGGGGAAAAAAATAGATTGAAGTTTTCTTTAAACTTGAAGTTTTCCTAGGTTGAAATAATTGTTAGCAGTTGTTAGCAGAGTTGTTAGCAGTCCATCGCCTTAACCACTCAGCCACCTCAGCCCACTAAATAATAGATATATTTTTTTAAATGGACATTTTCCCATTTCTCCAGAGAAAGGTAATTCAGCAGATTTTTACCAGGAAATAACATCTCACTGAACCTCCTCGTTATAAATCAAAAGAGGAAACAAAACAAAGGTTTAAAACAACAATACTTCTGACCTTGCTTGCTTTTCCTGTTTTTCTTTGAAAAATGAAACAGTTATTAGCTTGAAGTGTTGTGATGGTTCCGTGTGTGTGCGCGCACCCATGCGTGTGTGTAAAATATTAAAACTGTTAAATCTGGTTATCATTCATGTTTACTGCCATTCGAAAGACATCGTCCAATGATGTATCAAGTAGGATGTGTCAACAATGATGTGTCTACCTATAAATTCCTTGCTAGTGTGAACATTTAATGAGCAATTTTCTGGTTTCAAGTAGTAATGAAGTCCTCATTCTGCTAGACAGAGGAGCAGAGTTCACAACAGTTCTTGCAGCTGAAGTTCCAATTGCACTGTCTGTAGCACTGTCCTCCCATTATTCATTGATTTGCTCGAGTGGGCACCCGTAACATCTCCATTGTGAGACTTGTTGTTACTGTTTTTGGCATATCAAATTTGCCACGGGGAGCTTGCCAGGCTCTGTTGGGTGGGTGGGATACTCTTGGTAGCTTTCTGGGCTCTCTGAGAGGTGCTAAGGAATCGAACCTGGGTCGGCCGCATGCAGGTCAAACATTCTATCTGCTGTGTTATCGCTGCAGCCCAAAGTTCCAATTAAGAAACATAACCTTACTCCCCCAAGTGCTCCAAATTAACTGCGTTTTTAAATTTAAGACCCTGGATTCTAAAGAGTCCACTATGTCCTTTGTCTTTATGTTTAAGCTGTCCAACCAGAGTGGCATCCCCTCTGCGTCAGATTCTGCTGTTCTTTGAGGAGGGCACCTCAAAGAACAACACAACCTGCTCAGAATTCAAATGAAAGACAGACTTTGACAAGGAGAAGTAACTTGCTTAGGGGCACACACCAATGGCAGGGGTACTATGATCCAGGATCCAAGACCCTGCCAATATCCTTTCACCTTATCCAACTTCTGACTTATTCAAAAGATAGCATGCTTATTTCGTGCCATGAATTCATCCAAGGGACTAAGATTATCTCTCAGTTATGTCTCATCATTATCTATTGTTTCCATTTCTGAATGGACAAAATTAAAAATCCTGTGTGTTTGGTATTGTGCTCTCTCTCCCAATCTAGTTGAAGGAAAAGTATTCCCGAAGTAGCATTGCTTGTTTGCTCAAGGAAGATGACGGCCTCTGGGATCCAGATGATGGAGAAAGTATGACCAACCCTTGCTGGGAAGTTAAGTGGCAACTCTATCAGTTTATTAAAAAGGTAGGCGGCCCTCCAGGTAACTTCTCCGGCCTGCATGGAAGGCCAGTGGGGACGGAATGTTGTAAATGATCAAGTACTCAACTCCTCCTTTTGCAAAGGAACAAACAGGTCCAGAGTGTTTCAGTGAGTTTCCCCAAATTTATAGAACCAGACAAAATGCAAACACTCCGAAACAGTAACAATAACAACTGGAATCAATAACAACTGACTGACATCTGGTCTGAAATTATTCATAAAAGCTTCTCAGAAATCTGACCTTTCAATCTTATATTGTGGAAAATTCAGAGTAATGTGAGTAATGTGTTTAAGTTTCCTTTAAAAAAAAGATGTAGCATATATATATATTTTTTAAGTTCAGAACACCACAGAGGCCAAATAATAGCCTTTTATATTCTCACATTGCTTTTCTACAGACTTAATCCAGGTTAATTTTCATATGCATATAGAGATGAAGAAAGAGGAAAAGAAGAGGGAAGAAAGATTCTTTGAGAAATTGGAGATGATGACATCTCAATTTACAGTTAATAAATGATAAATGATAAAATATTATCTATTTATGAAACTTGCTTAAACTAGATCTTGAGCACAATGTGTCCGCAACCGCTTATGTCACTAAATGTAACTGGATGATTTTTTATGTCAAACCCAGTTGGGTTCCTTTTCCCTTTTTCTTCTTAGGTGGCTTCTTTGTTAACATAAATTTTATTAATATTTACCTACTCCCTCCTGGCACAAGTCAGATAAGAACGTGAATATAAAACTACTCTGCAAGCTATGAAACACATCATTGTTATAAAGTAAACTAGAGGAGACATTCTCAGGGCGGGAGGAAGAAGAGAGTTGGTTGTGACTGTAAGCTCATTGTTAGTCTGCCTCCTTGTCTTTAGGATACTCATTTATAAGCTAAGCTCCCGCTCAGCTCAGGCCGGTTGCTGTCTCTGTGGTTATTTCTCCGAGGAATGAATTCAGAATTCAGGGAGTCTTAGGAACACCTCTATTCTGGGGATTCCTGGAACTGTAGCCCAGATTGGGGTGACCACAGCCAAACTAAAGCAACTGTGACTCTAACACCCCAAAGGAGGAGGAGCTGAGACATGGCACTCCATGGTCTCTCGGGCTTGGCAGCAACCTCACAGGTGGGAGGGGAGGAGGAAGAAACTCAGAACTCCTGGACTGAACACTAGGATGTGGGAGATGTGGTGGGTATACATTTTGCACCCCCTTTCCCCGAATTCCCTCTCTGCCTTCCATGCTATATCCTGCCACTCACCAGAGGAGACAGACATGCGCAGAGAATACAGAGGCGTGGTGAGAATACAAGGAGGAAGGAATCAATTCCCTGTGTGGGGGGCTGCCGTTAATTGAGCAGACTAATTCCCGTAAATAATTTCTATTGCCTCATAGCTTATATTACCTTATGTAATCCTCACAATGGCTTGTGGGGAAGTAATTTTATTTTTTTAATTATTAAGACATTTGATTAAGTCATGCGAGCAAGTTGTTCCAGTGTTAGTAATTGACGGATTGGAAATTCAGTTCGTCTGCTTGTCTATGGATTCTTTTATTCTGCCTCCTACACTGTAGGAATTACCCTTCTTAGTTCCTCTCACTCATCCTCCCTTCATTCCATCCCAAGTGGGTGTGGAATCAAAGAGCAGGGGTGGAGAGGGAGAGAAGAGAGAGAGAGGATTAGAGTGGGGGAAGAGGAGGGAGGAGGGAGAAGGTGCTGGGATCCTTTCGATCCCCTCCCACATGCCAGTGACAACGAAATGACAAGAGACTTGAGCTGCCCAAAGCCATGCTGCTCTGAGTTGGCATGGGATAAGAATTCGCCAAGAGCAAGATGGATGGCTCACGCAAAAGCAAAGCAAGTTTATTGAAGAGAATTAGTGCAGTTGTGATGACCACAGTAGAGGCCTCCAAAGAAAGAAGTTGGTCTAGCATTCTTAGGGGATACTTTGAAGAGCATATTTTTGGATGCTTTAGGTGGGAAACTTCTGCTTTCTCTAGATTAATTATTTCTGGGAGGGGACAAACAGTGTACCCAATTTGGGGAAAGAAGTAAATAATATATAAAATGTTCCAAGCTAATCACATAAAAAAATAAGAAATACATATAATGATATGGATTAACTACAGAATGTTCTGAGCAGATAGAGATAATCAAATGTGCATAACATAATTTAAGCTGATCCCAGGAAGGGAGTTTTGTGACTAATTCTAGGAATCCAGGTGGCAGAGGCTTAGGATGAATATCTTGCTGGGTGGTGTTGGTAAGGCGGATCTGGGCCAGTTCTAGTAACTGTGGGCCAGCCTGGAGCAATGGTGCTCTAGATCCTTTTGCCCGTACGTGATTACATGAGCCAAGAGGACCTCAGCCTGCCAGATTTGAGAGAGGGTGTTAAGTGAGGCATCCTTTTCGGTGTTATGGCTAGACTATTTCATAGGCCCTCAGTGGTCTGGGATCAGAGACTTTAGGCAGATGGAAAAACAGAGAACTCTGATTTGGGGGTAAGAGTAGGGGAACGGTTTTAAACAGTTGCAAAAATTGAGAGAATAGATGATTGTGTTGGCGAAACCTTGGGGATGGGGAAAGTGACAGATCTGAGTGACTTGGCGGGGTGGGGGGGGTGGCGGGGGGAGCACCCTGGCTTGGCCAAGACAGAGTCAGCAAACAGCGTGCTGTGTGTGTTTCTGTGGGCATCATGAGAGAGAGGAAGTGAACCTAATATCTCGCGTATCCGAGAGTTCACGTCTGTCCACTAATATAAAGCCCCCAGACTCTGATATATAGTGTACTTGTAAACACACGTATCTAAGAGGAGACCCTACCCCACCACCACCCCGCACCAAAGTGAGGTGATATTGTTGCCACATCCGTTATCCCCTCTGAGGCCTGGGCACCGTTAGGCTGACCTAGCTGACCAACAGGCTTCTGTCTCCTGTGCTGCCCCAAAGTGACCTACCAACAGCCCTCATCTAGAAACAGGGTGATCCTCCCTCACCATGCACAAACAGCTGCCTCTAAATTCACCGGAACAAAACATTGTGTTCGGACAATGTAAGTAAAGTAAAGTAAAGGCCCTCCCGTTGCTCATCGATTTGCTCGAGCGGGCCCAGTAACGTCTCCATTGGAGACTTTGTTGTTACTGTGTCTGGCATATCAAATACTCTCGGTAGCTGTTCGGACAATGTAAAGCTTCTGAATTGATAGCTCATGTGGAAATTTTTTCTTAGAAATAAACAGGAAGAGTCACCAACTTGGGATATTCCATTGAAAATGTTAGGTAAAAATTAACAAACTTCATTCAATACGATTTGCAGATGCTTTTGAAGACCTATGAGAAAACCTTCACAACAGATCAAGGTAGTATTTTGTTTTCGTTGTCATTTTCTCCCAACTTTGTGACAAAGTAAATAGTTCCCCACCCTTTCGCTCTGCCCTCATCCACACATCTCTCCCCTTCCTTTCTATTTGCTTCTCGGACTTTTCCTCTCTTTGTATTATTGACATTTATAAAACTCCCGGTCAACTTTATAGTCCACTTATGGCCAGAACTTCATTTCAACTAAATCTATGTTTCCAATGTGGATTTTTCTTTCACTTTGATTTCTTTAATGATTTATACATTTGCCTTTTAATATGTTTGAGATAAATTGCCTGAGTTCTTTCTAGAATATGACTGGAGAAAGAAAGAACAGGGGTCCCAATGTTACCCTTCCCTGCTTCTGACAAGCTCCAGGCTTGATGCCTTTCTTGGTGTGAAAGCCCCTCTGTTCACCATCTAGGATTCTACCTTCTCACTCCACTTTTTTTGTCTCCACACCTTCTTGTTTGTGATCAGTAGCCTTCTTTTGACACACTCCTCTCAGTACTATTGGCCATGTTGTTTTCTTCAGTCTTCAGTCTGGCTTATTCTGTTCCTGTGTTTCCTATAACTAATTATTCTCACCCTCATCTTCATTACGAAGAGATAGTATTTATCTCTTCGGAGAAAAAGTCCCTGGCCATTGTCCAAGTAAGTTTCCCTACATGCTATTACTTGTAGAACATTTTCTTGTTCATTTTCTTAGCTCTCTAGGGAGCTAGCTATGCACATGTACATATATATCTTCTGACTCAGTAGGCAAACTTTTCTTAGCACAAACACTCCTCTGAACTCAACTCATGACCAAAACATCACAATCACAAATCACAAATCATCCTGTTAATCGTCGATTGCCTCGAGCAGGCCCCAGTAACGTCTCCTTCATCCTAGCCCTGAGATTATATTCAAGGCTCTTTAGGAGAATGAGACCCATCATTGTTACTGGTATTTGACATATTGGGTACGCCAGGGGGAGTTTGCCAGACTCTGCCATGTGGGCAGGCTACATTTGATAGCCTGCCAGTTTGTCCAAAGTAGGAATGAGATAATAAGATAATAACAAAACAGTATCTGTTTCTATTGCATTTCTATACCTGGCACCTAATACTATGCTTCGAGCCCAGGATATTTTCCCCACCCTCCATCCCATTCTCACCTGCACTGCCTTCAGGGTATGTGTATGTACGTATGTAGGTGGGTGGAAACTGAAATGTAATATATATAACTTAAAGTTAAAAGAGGGCTGGAGCGATAGCACAGTGGGTAGGGCAGTTGCCTTGCACGCAGCCAACATGGCCGACCTGAGTTCTATTCCTCCACCCCTCTCGGAGAGCCCAGCAAGCTACCGAGAGTATCTCACCTGCACGGCAGAGCCTGGCAAGCTCCCTGTGACGTATTCGATATGCCAAACACAGTAACAACAAGTCTCACGATGGAGATGTTACTGGACCCGCTCGAGCAAATCAATGAACAATGTGAGGACAGTGACAGTGAAAGTTAAAAGAGGGCTGGAGCAATAGCACAGCGGGTCGGGTAGTTGCCTTGCATGCTGCTGACCTGGCCAACCCGGGTTCGATTCCTCTGCACCTCTCGGAGAGCTCGGCAAGCTACAAAGAGTATCTTGCCTGTGTGGCAAAGCCTGGCAAGCTACCCGTGACGTATTCACTATGCCAAACACAGTAACAAGAAGTCTCACAATGGAGACATGACCGGTGCCCACATGAGCAAATCAATGAACAACGGGAGGACAGTGCAGTGCTATTAAAGTTAAAAGTGTTAAAACACCCAGTTCATTAGCAGTTAGAAAATACACCGTGTTGAGGTACCACCATCTCTGACTACACAGAAGGCTCTAACAGTGGTTATGAATGAACAAAGCTACTAAATTAAGTATACTACTATTTTGCATGTTAAAAAAAGGTAAAGGCCCTCCCGTTGATCGTCGATTTGCTCAAGCGGGCCCAGTAACGTCTCCATTGGAGACTTTGTTGTTACTGTGTCTGGCATATCGAATACTCTCGGTAGCTTGCCGGGCTCTCCGAGAGGGGAGGTAAAGGCCCTCCCGTTGATCGTCGATTTGCTCGAGCGGGCCCAGTAACGTCTCCATTGGAGACTTTGTTGTTACTGTGTCTGGCATATCGAATACTCTCGGTAGCTTGCCGGGCTCTCCGAGAGGGGCGGAGGAATCGAACTCGGGTCGTCCATGTTGGCCGCTTGTAAGGCGAACGCCCTACCCGCTGTGCTATTGCTCCAGCCTATTTTTTTGCATGTTATTCAGCAAAATTCCATGTTCCTATGCCATTAGCCCCTACAGCTCTGATAACATGTACCAGAGACTTGTGACTAGGCTTATACACCAAGCTAACGGGGGAAAGGCTTTAAAACATAAAGGTTGTGAACGACCTCTTAGTACTTTCCACTATCTTTTCTAATAGTCTTCTCTCTCACTTGTCAACTACCACTTTCATTTCCTAAAAATTTACTAAACAATTTTTTAAATATAAATGCTAACGTAAGGGCTGGAGCAATAGTGAAGCAGGTAGGGCACTTGCCTTGCATGCAGTAGACCCAGGTTCAATCCCGGCCTCCCATAGGTTCCCCAAGGGCTGATCCCTGAGCAAAGAGTCAGAAGTAAGCCCTGAGAGTAGCCAGGTGTGGCCCAAAATAAGCAAAAAGAGTCAACATAAGGACACATGGGATGTTCTGGCTGATTTTTTAAAGAGAATTGGTACATTTTTTAAAAAATTTTTATTTGTGAGACACCATGAGGTACAGTTGTAGACTTACAGATTTCTGTGTTTGGGTTTCAATTATACAATGATCAAATACCCATCCCTCCACCAGTGCCCATTTCCCACCACCACGGATCTCAGTATCCCTCCCCCCCCACCCATCCCTCCCATCCCACCCTACCTCTGTGGCAGCGCATTCCCTTTTGTTCTCTCTCTCCTTTTGGGTATTGTGGTTTGCAAGAGAGGCAATGAGTAGAGTTTTAGGAGTACAATTGTCCAACACCAATCCTACCACCACTGTTAACTTTCCTTCTAGAGAATTGGTACATTTTAAGGCTGCTCTAAAGCACTTTGAATGGTTGTCAATAAATGTCATTTGTTTATTATGATCTGGTGCAATTAGTGATATCTTCTTATAAATTTGTATATTCATTATTATATAAAATATGTATATTATGTAAAAATATTATGTATATATTTATGCTTGTAAATTTATTCTTGTGGCCAGATGTCATTTGTATTTCTTTTGGGAAATGGAATGGAATAACAATTGAATACCAGTTTGTAGCATCCGTGGACAATTTCTATCACTGTTGTTCTTTTACAATCAGTAAGAACTATTGGAAAATAATTATATGATAAAACTTGGTATTGCCCTAATTTATTCTATATAGTGGAATTATCATTATTAGCATAACTATCACAAGTGTATTGTTTTTCTTTCACTCTCCCTCCCCTCTCGCTCTCTCTCTCTAAAGGATGAGAATCTTTTTTTTCATTTTTTTATAATTTTATTTATTGAATCACCGTGAGAGCAGTTACAAAGCTTTTGGGTCCAAGTCTCGGTCATACAATGAAACACCCATACCTTCACCAGTGCCCATTCTCCACCCCCAACAACCCCAGTATACCCCCATCCCACACCCTTCCCCTACCTGTGGGGCAGATGATTTCAACATTACTCTCTCTCTACTTTGATCACATTCAATATTTCAACACCAGACCACCTTCCTCTCCTCTCCTTTTGGACATTGTGGTTTGCAATATTGATACTGAAAGGTTATCAAGAATATCCCTTTACCTACTTTTAACTCTCAGATCTTGTCCGGCGTGATCATTCCCAGCTATTGTTGTCATACTGGTCTCTTCTCTGTCTTCTCTACCCTCAGACCAACACACAATTGTGGTTAGTTCCAATCATTGACCAGTCCTCCTAACCCCTGTTTTCTCTGACCATGGATATTATTCTTCTACTATATATATACTCAAGAGAGCCTGGCAAGCTACCAAGAGTATCTCGCCTGCATGGCAAGCTACCCATGATGTATTCAATATGCCAAACAGAATGGAGATGTAACTGGACCCGCTCAAGCAAATCAATGAACAATGGGAGGACAGTGTTTACAGTGTTTATAAATTTATATATATGTATGTTAGTTATATACCACAAATAAATGCAGTCATTGTATATCTGTCCCTTCCCTTCCGACTCACTTCACTCAGCATGATACTCTCCATGTCTATTCATTTATAGGCAAATTTCATGACTTCATTTTTCCTAACAGCTGCATAGTATTCCATTGTGTATATGTGACATAGTTTCTTTATCTAAGGCACTTTTTAATTAAAGATAAGGTGAAGCTGATTGTAACACTAAAATGTAGTCTTTTTTAATGAAAATCATTCAATCGACTTTGGAAGCTGCATTTGCTTACAATGTCTGATTGACAATAGCTTTGAATGGGAATGTGTTTGAGGAGCAGTTTGGCACACATTGATGATTCTTTGTCATTTCTCTTTCAGAAAATCAACAAAATATTTCTCGCTTAGTGAGAGAAGAAAGTTCTCAGAGAGTAGCAGCTCATGTAACGGGGAACAGGTCAAGAAACAAAGTCATAGCTCCAAGTAAGAGAAGCAATAAATATTGGATTACAGGAAGGCAATGGAAGAATTTATTAAAGATAGTTCTTTTAACTTGTACCTGAAACATTTATAAGACTCTCTACAAAATGTGCGGTTCTAATCAAGTCTCGTATTGACTCTTTTCCACAAACAGACTGCAGATAAGTAGCACAATTACTGCTATGCCCTAAGTGGCCTCAGCAAAATCTTGAAGTGGGAGAAATATGTCACTGAGTTTTCAAACCCTCATTTTTGCTTTTGTTCTTCTTTCAAGCAATTTACTTTCATCACAGTTTCATCAAATCGTTATTGTCTTCAAAGGTTCTCTTATAGTCATTTACTCTCATAATCTGAGAGACATTGTATTATATTAAGTCATAAGAAGTTGCCAATGTATAACCATTTTCACTTACAGAAATGTCCATTTCATATCATTGAAACAAACGTCTAAAGTCTAATTTTAAACTGCAAAACAGGTATTCACATAGAGTTGTAGTTAAGCACTTGGGCCTTTTTGCCTGTTTTGGAAGTCCAGCTCCTCCTTACCTAGGAAGGTGTTTTGAGTAAATTACTTAACTAAATCAACTTTCAGTTTCTTCATGATACAAAGCAGAGATAATTGTTAACACATAAACAGTGTTTATGCCTTTTTCTTGGATGGTGTATTTGACTTTACATTGCTAAAAGGATCAAGAAAAGGCACAAAGAGGTCTAAAGTTAAATACATGTAACACATACGGTGTACTATAATTAGTAATAAGTGCTTTTGCTATTAGAAAATATATTCCAAGTTAAAGAAATTTCCAATGTCAGTTATTGGACATAAAGGTTTTGATTTCCAGAGAGACAGTGCGAAGTTACATGACATGCCCCAGTTGAATCCTTTTTTGGTGTGTGTGTGTGTTGGGGTTTGGGGGAGGGCCACACCAGCCACATTCAGGGGTTTCTCCAGGCTGTGCATTTAGGATTTAGTCCTGGCAGTGCTTGGGGGACCTTATGGAATGCCAAGGATCCATGGTGGGCTGCATGCAAGGCGAATGCCCTACCTACTGTACTGTCTTTTTAGCAGCAACCCCCACAACCCCACCCAATTTGTATCCTTGGTCCTATGTATGCCCCTCCCTCTGACTGCCAGGAACAACCCACCAGCACTTCCAGGAGTAGCCCCCAAAACAGTCCTATGGGGCCCAAAATCCCCTCATCCTTACTCCCACCACATGACCCGTCCCCAATGACAAAAAAACAAAAAAACAAAACAAAACAAAAACCCAACAACCTTTTGTTTTGTCTTTTTTTATTTTTGGCATTTGCTTTTCTAAATTCAAGTTTTAGAAACGAATAGCCTTCTCTGCCTATGACTGGAATCCGTGTTATGTTGATACTGTTTATAACTCATCAACAAGTGCTATTGTTGTTTTAAGTTCTTGAAAACAACTCAAGCTGATTTTGTAGTAACCATGGCGATGAACGCAGAATTTAAAGGAATATCCTATTTTGCTTGGTTCTTTTTACCGCTGAAGTCTTTGGGAGTTACAAAGATTAGGAGCTGATGATCACAAAATAGGAGCTCTTTTAGTCAAACTGGCTGCCCTTTCTATTGTGGACTAATGATGCCTTTTTCTTGGATGGTGTATTTGACTTTACTTTGCTAAAATGATCAAGAAAAGGCACAAAGAGGTCTACAGAATATCAAAAAGTTCTGAGCCCTAAGGTTAAGGAAGTAGATACCTACATTTTTGTTCCCTTTTACATTATTCACTTGAATTCCTTAAGTAGGGGAAGAGGGGTCCCAGTTCCGGACAGAAGTTTGGACTGAGTAATGGCTGTCTTCAGACTTCCAGTGCAGTCATTCAGACAGATGTAGCCTTAAGTTATGGACAAGGCAGAGAAAAATAACCATCCTAACAGGTCATCATCATAAAGGAGCCTCCATATCTCTCCAAGACTAGAATTTCGGTTTTTTTTTCTGAAATTGAAGGAGCAAGAATTTTTTCATATTCAATTGATAATCTTTACAATTCTAACTGAAAAAGAGGCTGTTTTTGTAAAAGAGCTTTGCTTTGTTATGAAATCCTGTTAATTTTCTTTCTCTCTAAATTTTATTCAGGTTCCAAGAATGAAAAGATAAATGGTTATAAAATAAACTTCTGGGAGCCATCGAAAATAGGGCATTCATTCATGAACAATTTTCATCTATTGGATGGAGAATTGGTTATCCATAAAACAGGACTTTATTTCATCTATTCCCAGATATATTTTCGAATTCAGGAACCTGGGGAAAAGAATGAAGCAAGAAGCAAACAATTGGTTCAATATATTTACAGATATACCAACTATCCTGATCCTATACTGTTGACAAAAAATGCAAGAACAAGCTGTTGGTCAAAAGATTCAGAATATGGACTCTATTCCATTTATCAAGGTGGAATGTTTGAGCTTAAGGAAAATGACAGAATTTTTATCTCTGTAACTAATCAGCACTTAATTGATAAGAATCAAGAAGCCAGTTATTTTGGGGCCTTTTTAATTGGTTAAATTATCTGCTCAAAAAAATTGCTTTGAACAGTGGAAATAGCTCCAAGAACAAAAGTGTGTGCGCTACATGGAGGAAGCCCAGACTGAATCCCTGACATGTTATGGTCCCCTGAATTCCACCATGAACAAATCCCCAATCCCCCAACTCATGCAACACTGTACTGGAGTGAGTCCTGAGCACCAGTGGGTGTGATTCCAATGTCCAAAGTAAACCAAACCAACCAATGCCTGCAAAGTGACTTTTTGCTCTTCAAGTTGATATAGTGTGAAAATATTCTAATGTATCTGTGAAAGTAAAGGTAGTTTTTAAATATCTTTGGGAAAAGACCAATGCATTTGAAGAAAGTGAAATTGTCAAAAAGACACGTCAGTGCTCCTCCAGCAGAAACTTAGAAGATTTTCTTACTGAGCACTGTGTAACAATGTTATGTCCTGTGGTTGGCAAGATTCCTGAAGGAACAACAAGCCATCACTGAAACAAGCCATTGTTTAAGTAGTATATCATATTGGTTGTTTCCAGTTGGTCTCCAAAGACAGCTGTCCCAAAGCTGAAAGTCTTGGAGAAGGTCCTCTGTGAGGATATTCAAGCTACAAAAGGAATTTGCATTGTACAGAGTGTTGCAGGAGTTATTGGACTTAGCAGAGAAAAATAATAGAAAAAAATCAAATAATAGAAAAAATCATAATAGAAAAAAATCAAACACATAATAGAAAAAATCAAAACAAAAACAAATTAACAAGTTATGTTCAGTGAATAGAAATATGTTTCTATTTCTGAATGACTTTTCACTACCTGAACTTAAGTTGTCTAAAAGCACAGATGATGTTTTTGAAGATGAGCTATAACAAATGATCAGAAATCAGAGAATTTGTTCTCATGTGAGCAGCAGGATATATGGAAAAGTCGCAATGACAAACAGGTAAACTATGAGAACTGTATCAAACAAAGACCCCACTCCACTTCCACACACACACATCTCACCCTCCACCCAAGGTCTGCTTTGAGATTTCCTGGTGTATTTTTCCCCCCAGACAGTAATGCTTCGTGTGTCATAACCATCACCCAGAACATCTCATTTTACCATTTTAAAAAACTAGTTGGTGAAAAGAATTTGTTGTAGTATTTGTTGAATTTCCTCTCTTATCCCTAAACATGGTTATAATTATACTCAGTTGTTGTTTGCGCAAATGTTCATTTGGTCAAATACGGTTTTTTTCTAAAAAAATAACATTAAAATATAAATTTATACCATGATATAGTTACCTGATGCTCCAGATTCCTTGTCCTATTTTTCCCCATACCAGTAAACAAGTTCTTATATCCTAAAAAAAAAAAGATTTATTTGTTAATCAATTTTTTGAGTCTTGTCTCCTCTTACTAGAATATCAGCAAGGAACATTTAATCCTATTTACACATGTCTTTCCACTACTTAGAAAGAATGTCTGATGGCCATTGCACATGCCCTGTGCCCTCCAGTACCACAGACTGTGATTCTGAGGCCCCCAGCACTACCAAGTGAAAGCAGCCCCTCATTGCTGGGGCGTCAGGCCTGTACAACCTGGCTGAAAGGAAAAATACCTGAACATAAAAATCACACAAAATAGATGTGTAAATGGTTGATTGAATACCTAATCCTATGAGGGGAAAAAAGTCTACATCAAAAAAAAATCTTTGAAGAATTTTAAAAGCAATCTCATTTTGAAAAAATGGACTGTAAACCACAATTTACAATATCAAGGAAAAGACTAAAGTGTGTGACGACATGTCATCCAGCGACTGAAGAAAAGATTCATTTTCATCCATATTTTATACTAAATGTTTTCTATTGTTTTGCTTTTCTAAAATAAACAACATTTTTTTTAAAAAAAAGTGTCAAACCATGTAGTGTTTATCTAGAACATTTGTTTTCTAGTACTGAGAAAACTAAAATTAGGAAAAAGACTTCTAATATCTTTTTTATTTGTTCATTTATTGTTTTTACTTTTAAATTTAGTCACCATGGTTTACAATACATTCAGGATTGTGTGTCATACACACATCAATCTGACACCACACCCCGCAGCAGAGTGCTCCCCCTAACCATAATCTTAAACTCTCCCTCTCAGTGACCCCAGACACCCCCATATCCTTGCAATGATAAGCTTAGTTCTCTAGACCAGATCTCAGGTTCTGTTACCTTTTGGCCTTTGTTATTTTCTTGCTATACTCATTTATATGGGCTGGAGCGATAGCACAGTGGGTAGGGCATTTGCCTTGGACGCGGCCAATTGGAGTTCGATTCCTCCACCCCTCTCAGAGAGGCAGGCAAGCTACTGAGAGTATCTCGACCGCATGGCAAAGCCTGGCAAGCTACCCGTGATGTATTCAATATGCCAAAATAGTAACAAAAAGTCTCACAATTTGTTGTGCCCGCTCGAGCAAATCAATGAACAACGGGAGGACAGTGCTACAGACAGTGCATATTACCATAGTTTCTTTAGTCAATCACCTATTCCTGGACACTTATCTTTTAAACTGACTGAAATACTTAATTTTTATTAAGTTAAAACATATTAGTATGTTTTTTAATGGTGAATGCTTTATTAAAAGTTGAATAAAATCCCCCCAGAGATATATTGGGGTCCTATCCTCTAGTACCTCAGAATGTTACTCTTCAGTGTTTCTGAATCCTACTTTGAGATAGTGCTATTTTTTATTTTTTTTTATTTTTGCTTTTTGGGTCACACCCGGTGATGCACAGGGATTACTCCTGGCTCTGCACTCAGAAGTTACTCCTGGCGGTGCTCAGGGGACCATATGGGATGCTGGGAATCGAACCCGGTTCGTTCGCGTGCAAGGCAAACGCCCTACCCGCTGTGCTACTCCAGCCCCGAGTGCTATTTTAAATATAATTAGTTAAGATACTCGAATTGAAGGGCTCTTTAAACAACACTACCAGTGTGATCATAAGAAAAATGAAATTTAATTCTAAAACAGAGACACACAGGAGAATTGCATGTGATGACAGAGGCAGAGATGAGGGAGTTTCAAACAGAGTAGCTTATCAGAAGAAGCTACACTAGACAAAGATACTCCTACAGTCTCAGTAAAAGTATACATCAACCCGTGTATCAAGAATCTATACTTTTTTTCATTGGGCCCCTTGCCCCTATTACTCGGAGACAATAAATTTGAAACCCCCCTAACTGCGATGCTTTATTCTAGTAGCCATTGGAAACTAATACATTGTTTCATATGATATTTAAGAAATCTTTTCTAATGATATATAGTTATTGCTGTATATATTTTTGTTAAAAGCTTGGGGCTGGAGCAATAGTACAGTGGGTAGAGCGTTTGCCTCGCACGCAGTCAACCTGGGTTCAGTCACCAGCATCCCATATAGTCCCCCAAGCAACGCCAAGAGTAACTCCTGAGTGTAGAGCCAGGAATAACACCTGAGCATCGCTGGTGTGACCCCCCTAAAAAAAACAAAGCTTTAAAATGTAACCTGTCATAGTTTGATAGTGAAAGTTCACAGTGATTTGATTCATAGGTGATATAAAATAGGGATGTAATTTTACCTTTTATCCTTTGAGCATCATATGAGTTGACTGGCATTCTTTATTGGACTGTCCATCTTTTTTCCCCATTGATTTTAGTGGTAGGGCGTTCGCCTTACAAGCGGCCAACATGGCCGACCCGAGTTCGATTCCTCCGCCCCTCTCGGAGAGCCCGGCAAGCTACCGAGAGTATTCGGTATGCCAGACACAGTAACAACAAAGTCTCCAATGGAGACGTTACTGGGCCCGCTCGAGCAAATCGACGATCAACGGGAGGGCCTTTACCTTTACCTTTATACTCCATTTAAAAATTTGTTTAATTGCAGTAATATATATGTAAGATTAAATTTAGCATTTATACATTTTTAAATTTATAATTCTGGGACTTGGCCGTTGATGGGATTACAAGGCGCCATGGGGCCAGTTGGTGGGTGTGACCCCTCCCTACTGGAAGATGGAGAATCTGGGTGGAGGATGCTCAGCCCGGATCCGAGCAGGCTTGCAGATCTCAGCCCTGGGACCCTCATGCGCCTTTGTTCCTCTGCCGGTACCTTCATGCGTGTGGAGAGTGGTCTCAGCACGGTTGTGGCTGGCCGCGCAACATCTTTTTATCTTATTCTTACTTTGGACAACCTGGCAGGCTACCGAAAGTAACCTGCCCACATGGCTGAGTCTGGCAAACTGCCCATGGCATACCCAATATGTCAAATACCAGTAACAATGATGGATCTCATTCTCCTAACCCTGAAAGAGCCTTGAATATGGCACTTTTTCAAATCTCAGGGCTAGGACAAAGGAGACCTCACTGGTGCCTGCTCAAAGCAATCGATGAACAACAGGATGATCGTGATCGTGAAATTTATAATTCAGTGACATTAAGAATGGTCACATTATTGTGCAACAATTACTGTCATCAGCAACAGACCATTTTGTCATCCTGAATTAAAATTTCTACCTATTAAACAATAATTCAATTTCTCCCTTCACACAGTTTCTGGTAACTAAAATTATACTTTCTTTTTCCATAAACCTGAATTTTTTTCCTTTTGTTTGTTTGTAACCCACACCCAGTAGTGCTCAAGACTGGTTGTCTTGGTTTTCATTTTCTGTACTATATATCTTGATATCAGGTGTGATATTTCCTTTATTTAATTTTCTGTTTCAAAATTATGTGGGCTGCTGTTAGCCTGTCTGTCCCTATGGATTAAAAAACTGCCCAGGAACTGTGTATACAAATGCATGCACAGACACAATTTTTTGGATAATTTGATAACATGGGGGCAAAAAAATTCGCTGCCCTCTTAGGGATACCAGCTGGGCTGAAGAATTAAACTATCACACAGCACATTAACAGGAGAAAATGATACCTTTCTTTTCACTATTTTTCACATATGCATCGAAACTTCCCAAGGTGAAAAATGAGTAAAAGTAGTAGTAGCAACCAAATTTATATAATAAACGAACAAATAACAGGTAAAGGGATTTAGAGTAAGGTAAATATTTGAGTAGAAAAATGAAAAAATTAAGGGTTATTTTAATAAGATTCTGTCTAGGAACGAGACAAAAAAACTTACTTCTCCCTCAATCTCCTTGCACTTTGATTTTGGAGTTTCCAGTTTTAAAACCTGTAAAAAAATTAAATTTATTGTTTATAATCACCTGGGGCTAGAGCAATAGCGCAGTGGGTAGGTGTTTGCCTTGCATGTGTCCGACCAGGGTTCAATTCCTCCATCCCTCTTGGAGAGCACGGCAAGGCAAGCTACGGAGAGTACCCTGCCCACAAAGCAGAGCCTGGCAAGCTCCCCATGGAAAATTCGATACGCCAAAAACAGTAACAACAAGTCTCACAATGGAGATGTTACTGGTACCCAGTCGAGCAAATCGATGAACAATGGAGGACAGTGCTACAGTGCTATAAATCACCTGATCTATAGTATTTTGCTATATCACAAAGCACATCAAAGAAAATGGACAGAGAAGAAATAATTTAAAAAAATAATAACCTTTAGCTTTGCAAATTTTAACAACAGTGCATATATACTTTTTTTTCTTCTTGTGTAACACCCGGCAATGCACAGGGGTTACTCCTGGCTGTTCACTCAGGAATTACCCCTGGTGGTGTTCGGGGAACCATATGAGATGCTGTGAATCGAACCCAGGTTGGCTGGGTGCAAGGCAAACGCCCTACCTGCTGTGCTATCACTCCAGCCCCATATATACAGCACTTGATCACTTGAGATCTCATTACTCATTGATTTCCTCGAGCGGGTGCCAGTAATGGCTCTATTCGTCCCTGTTGTGTGCTAGTGTAGCCCAATGGCATCTGCTTGTTCTAGGAATATGAAGAGCCTCAAACTGATTGTTCAGGGTCTTGACAAAGAAGTCTGACCATCTCATAGGTGGGCAGCCATGCGATCTTTTGACATCCTTTGGAATCCAGTTGATAATGGCGCTAGTCCAGCGGACGTCTCCAAATGTCATTATGTGTCCAGCCCCTCTGAATTTTGACACCTTGGCAAACAAGACAGTGTCCCTGATTCTTGATTGTTGACAGAGGTCGGAACTCCGGATTTTTTCTCTCAGTTGAGTGAAGCGTAATACTTCAAGGATAGCTCTTTCGATTCCTCTTTGGGAGACCTGAATAGCGTTCTCATCCTGTTTGTGTAGGGCCCAGGTCTCTGAGGCGTATGTTAATGAAGGAAGAACAGTGGAATCCAAGAGATGTGCCTGGAGCCATAATTTCTTCGTCCTCTTAGCTATTTCTTTGATGCTCTTGAAGTCGTTCCAAGCCACTCTCTTCCTCCTGCGCAACTCAGGTGCCAGGTTAATCATCATGTTGACTTCTCGACCTAGGTACAATTACTGTTGCATTCAGAGATGTTCATTCCATTGAGAGTGAATGGAATGTCAGGAGCGAGACCGTTCTCATAAACATTGTCTTCATGAGATTCAGCTGTAGTCCAAGCTTTCCATGCTCAGGGTTGAAGTCGACCAGCATTTGTGCCGCTTGGCTGATGTTTGGTGTTATGAGAACGATATCATCAGCAAAGCGGAGGTGCATTTGCCGACTGTCTATCTTCACTCCCATTCCTTCCCATTCCAGTCATCGCATGATGTTCTTGAGGGTAGCAATGAAGAGTTTCGGTGAAATGGTATCACCCTGCCAAATCCCTCTCTTAACGTCGATGATCACTTCCTTGTAGAATGGTGATATCCTGGTGGTGAATCCGTAACACAGCTAACGGAGGATACTGATGTATTGAGTTTGATATCGTGTGGATAT